GGGAAATGAGATCAAATTGGTTTTGATACAAATCCTGTGAAATGAATCATGGATTAGCTGACAGAGTGTAAACAGAAGGGTTAGAGACATTCTTTATCTTTCTGCAAAGGTGGAGTCCAAAAGGGCAATGTTTTGGTTTTAATTATTCATTAATGACTTGGGAGAAAATGAAAAAGGCATAGTTCTCAAATTCACAGTTGACACAACTGGAAGATATTAGAAACAAATCAGAGTAGAGACAAGAAGAGCCAGAGTGAAAAGATGAGCATTATTAAAAGGGCTCAGTAAAACAAGTGGCAATTAGCAGTGTGTGCTTTAAAGATGATACAGAATCTGCTTTGGGACAAGGAAAATCTCCAAATTTCATGTTGTGTGGAGCAAGGTGGCAAAAGCACCTTATGTCCAGAGAGACCCCAGTGAGGCAGTGGGTATCAAAGGATGTGAGGTTGCACTACAACCTGATGGCTGACAGAGCTACTGCTCTATTCATCCATATGTCTGCTCAGCTGTGTTTTATGGAGAGTATCTCTGTGTCCTTGTAGTGCTCTAGCATCGTTGCATTGTGCAGTTCTGGGCACCTTGCTGCAAGAGAGACCTAGGCTAGCTCTAACAAATCCAGAGAAGGGTCACAGAGATGCTAAAGGGATTAGAGGCAACGACCTGTGATGAGGAAAGGTGAAAAGAACGAAATGTTTAGAACCTCTAAGCCTGTTACATGAGCACAGAAATAGTAACGGAGTTTCCTGTGCCAGCACGGAGGCGAGATGGATCAAGTCTCTCTCCTTTTACATTCCTATTAAGGTAACTAGAGCTGAGCAAAATGGCTGTTCATCACTTTGAACTCTTTGCACAAAATATTTAACTGTTCTTCTTGAAGTTCAAGATGTTGTATTTCATTGCCAGGGGACTCTCTGAGTCAGTTTAAAAATCATTGCAGGATCTCCATGAACCTTGGATCTCTGACTTGTAGAAAGTCAGAGCTGGTGAGGCTTATCTCAGTTTGTGCTGCCCAGCAGTAATCAGCTGTGCAAATTATTCCAGAGACCAGAAAACAGAAACACAAACTCTGGAATGGATGGAGATACTTTGGTTATAAGCTTTGATCTGTCTTAGCACTAACAGTTTTTACCTCAAGCATATGTTAAAATCTAACCAGAACTCACTATGTATTTGGAAGGGAATTCCCTCTTGGGAATTCCCTCTTGCCTCATCCTCAGGCATGAGGATGTAGGGAGTTTGTTGAGATCCTCAGTTCACCATTGGACAGTCACTGAATGCCTGCCTTGGGGAGGAAGGCTCCTAAACTAAGGTTGTGACTTAGATAAGTGTGTCCCTTAGAGACTGAGCTCCCCTTATCCTGCAGTGGAAAGCAGTTCAGTGGGTCCACATGAGAGAAGCACAGCCTCCCGTAGCCTTCCAGTGAAGAAACACTGCTCGTCTTCAGATCTGCCAGTCTACTACCAAGTTCTTTTTTAACCAGTGAGGTTTGGATCAAAGACAGTGGTTCTGAGAAGTGATTGAAAAGAACTGTCAGTTCCTGTCTGATTTGTGATGGACTGAGAGAGCAAAGCTCCTAGGTAAACCCTACTGTGGGGTCACATTGTACAAATGGTGATTCTGCTTAGGAATAGGGTGGATGGCACTTCCAAAAATATTTCTGAATCTTAAGAAGAGAGTAAGTAACTAGACTTTCTTATGCCATACAACCACAAGAGAATTCACAGCGGTAAATGTTCCCTTAACCAACTCTAGCAGTAACAGCTCTATTATAATCCCTAAATGAGTTTGGCTTTGTACTTAAAAGGGTACCGTTAAGATGAGGCAGCATAGAGGATGGCTCACATATAACTAACAAGAGGAACATGAAACGTTCTCCTCTTGTTGGAGTAGGTGTAAGCAAGGAAACGAAGGACTTCTATAAGCTTTGTTTAACCTTGACACCATCCATGTTCCTCTGGTGTATCTCGTGCGTTTCCACCTGCTTGCATTTCAGTTCCATGTTTGTCTTTAATTCTCTGAAATCCTTCTAGTCTGAATTTTCCATATCTTTTCTCATACGGCTCAGAATCTCATCTGTTGTCTCTTCATCCCTTTCCAGTATGAAAGTTCTGGGCTTTTAAGAGACAAAAGATGGGATTTGAACTCCCCTGATCGAGTCTGAGAGTACAACTCACCTCCTGGTCATGCCTTTTCATAGTCTTGTCCTCTCTCTACCCTTAGCATTGCAACTCCTACTTCTTTTACCACGATGTTCCTCAGTGCAGAAGCTTGTTTTATGGTAGTTTTGCCTTCTGCTCTGACCCTAGTCTTATGTTAGCTTGTTATTGTGCCCAGTGATCTTCAGGTTGTTGCTACATATGCATTTCTCAGCTAGGGAAAGGTTCCAGAGTCTGGTCAGCACAGCAGCTTTCTGCTCTGCTGTGAGCTGAACCTATGGAGGCTATGATCTGATCTTAGCTAGCAAAGCTTCATCTTCTTCCACATAGTCAGCTGGCATTACACCAGGAGATCTGCACTCTGTCTAGCTGCCCAGCGGGATTAAAGATGAATGCACCTGCAGCAGTTATTCCTGTAACTTTTCTATGGCTGTTAGTCCAGTGTGACCCTCTGGACAAAGCGTGGCATTCATCAACTCATCAGTGTCTCTGAGAGGGACCAAGTGCTGGATTTCTCTAAAGTAACACCAGGCAAAGCAGCCTAAGAACATGAAATGCCTGCCTACACTCTCAAGGTCAACAAACTTGCCAAATAACAGACTTGGCTGATTGATCCCAGAGGTTGGAGATGAGGTCAGATATCGAGGATGAAACAGAGAAAGGAAATTAAGAGATGCTTGGATGGAATGAGATCATAAGGATGGAAGACCGTGAAGTTCCTGTATCTCAAACGTGTACATTCATATTAACAGACAGACAGACAGACATGATGTATGTGTGCACTCCTGCCTTGCTATATCACAGAGAATGTTTTGTCCTGTTCCCTGATGGATTTGACCTCTTGGCACAAAGGAGTGTCACAAATACGAGGTAAATAGGTTGAAACTGAAATAGAAATAGAAATAGAAATTACCCACATGACCATGGCATGGTAACTTTAAACCGGCAGAGCTTCCAAGAAGAAAAGTCAAGCATCCCCAGTCAGTCAGAATTCTTTGAACATGTTATCAGGAAAATCACTTGCTAGCATGTATTGAGGTTTTCTTAAAAGCTGTTGATAAATTATCTTGCCGGAGGGGAAATTTAACCTCTCGTTGGATGAGAGGTTAATACTATTATGGATTAATAAAAAGTGTCTGAGACAGAAAAGAAGGGGTAGGCATACCCTGCCCAGGAAAGAAAGGGCAGTCAATTTTCATCATGACAGAGATTAACACTGAATCACACACAAAGATCTGTGTTGTGATGTTCGATGCATGTGCTAATGATCTGGGAAGTGGCTGAACAATGAGATCACAACATCTGCAGATGACATCAAATTAGTAAGGTTAGTCAGGACAAGAGAAGATGAAGAACTCCAGAGGATCCTTAACAAAGCTGGGTGAATGGACTGCCCAATGGTAGAAATCCACTGCTGACTATTGCAAAACATTGCACCAGAAGGCATTCATTTGATTTTTCCTATGCCTTAATGGCTTCTAAATTAACTGTTGCAACTCAGGAAAAGATCCAAGGATTGCAACAAGTGTTCTGATAGTCTCTGCTCCAGAAATGATAACAACTTGGATTTTATTTTAAAGAGAAAAGAAAGCAAATGATGTAAGGAGTTATATAAGAGATGGGCTGAAAATAATGTTGAAAATATGGTAATGTCAATAGATAAATTGATGGCATGCCTTTGTCTTGACTACTATCCAAACCTTCAGCTGCAGAAGTGATGGAGCTATGCCAGTTTTGTGCCACTGAGGAGGTGGCTCACTGAACTCTGTTCTGGACTGGGCAGAAATAGCCAAACTAGAGGAAATTGAGAGATGGATGATGAAGCAGATGAGAAATCTGCAAAAAACTCCTGCGTGAAGAACAATTATATAGATAATGAAGAGCAGAGTGAGGAGAACGTGGCAAAAGTGCATTTCCTGAGAAGGAGAATCAGAAGATGTTCAAGGAATGTGAAAGGCTGCAAATATAGCATTGACAAATAGAAGTGGATCTTTTCGTTTGTTCATGCGCCATGGAAGTAAACTCTGGAACTCATCGACTTAGATATAAAAATTAACTGTTCTAAAAAAGATTAATCTTATTCCTTATATAAACGTTCATCTATGACTACTGTAAACAAGAACTTGCAGATTTGATAAAGATGCAGACCATTCCAAATATTTAAGAGCATAAACCTGTCTCTAAGTTGTGAGAATTTGGGAGAAGCTTCTTCTGTGTGCAAAAGCCTCATGCTAGTAAATACAGGAAAGATTAAGATTTAAGATTAAGCTGGAGGAAGCTTTTGATCAGATGATTTTCCTTCTGTTTCTGAGCTCCCCTTTTAGTGATGATGATGATGAAGGAGGGAAGGGGGAAATGAATCCAGCATGAAAATTAAGCAGTCTTCTGTATTAAAAATGAACATCCGATCTAAGCAGGTCTTTTCTGCCAGGTCTGCTGGTGATTGTTTTGCTTAGAGCTGAGGCAGGACCTCTGAGACTAACCAAACCTCTATCTCATCTGGCCTGCCCAGACAGGCTCCTTTCTTTCTACTGCCCTTCGGGGGGTTATCTGCTCTGGGTAGATCAGCACTGAAGTATCTTCCCAGTACTGCAGCCTGCGTACAGCCTGAAATTGTGACCTGCATAAATAGCCACCGCTTTCTCCCTAGTGCATGTTGGTGAGGAATAGGCATACGGTTCTTAGTGAGTTGCACTGATGCTCCTGAAGAAGGGCCTGGGTGGTGTTGAACTGCCTGAGCAAACTGGAGTTGAACTGAAGTGGGAAGGGGAGGGCGCTCTTTCCACCACCGTGGAGCTGGGTTTGGCCAGGAGGCTGCTGAGCACCTGTGCTCTTTCCCCACAGGCTGCTCGGCAGGATGGCCACGGAGGAGCGGCACCTGTCCTCCAGCTGTGGGTCCTTCATCAAGACTGAACCTTCCAGCCCGTCTTCCGGCATTGATGCCATCAGCCACCACAGCCCAAGCG